CATATGTACATACACACATATATAATCTATTAGTGGTTGGTTCTGTTCCACTAATGAATAAATGAATACATTATATAATATATATTTTTTATAACTATATGTGCACTATTTATTTACTAGAGAGATTTGGTCTTATGCAATTGTGGGGACTGGTTAGGCAGTCTGTAAGTCTGTTGTCTCACATCTGATGCTGGAGCTTGAAGCCCACTGGGCAGGCCATTAGGAAGGGAAAATAGGTTTAAAGGGGGAAATTGAGAGCAGTTCAGAATCTGGAAGCATAAGCTGAAATCCCATGAGAATGAATGAGAACCTTGGTTTTTACTGCTTCACAGCTTGATGATATGGGTGACCTGTAGAAGCCAGAGTCTTTTGTCAAAGAGCTAAGCACACACATCTGGACATGGCCATGGAGAAGCTGAAGGAGAATCCAGGGAGGGGGAAAGCAGTTACAGGCCCACATGCTGCTTCATGCTACCAAGGTTCATCTGGATCCACAGATGAGCAGCAGCATGTGAGTTATAGGATGGCTGCCACCTCCCTTCTATCCTCCTATATCCCCCAAGTCTCCCTGTGGCCTACCTAACTGAAAACATACCAAGAAACCAGATTCTTGGTAATGTAATTCAATCTAGTTACATTGGTATATTACAAAGCTACCATGCTATTCAGGAAGGAATATTGTAGCTGGCAGAGGGCTGACTGAGATGCTCTCTGGAGGCTCAGGAGAAGCTTAGAAACCTAGCAGGCCTTCTGACTGTTTAGCAGTCAGTTCATTCTCCAGCCAGGGAGGGTTCCCTGTGCACCCAGGGATTTAGCTACTGTCAGTGTCTCTGCCCTTAGGAATTTTCATTTTATAAGACCAGCTATACAGTAGGAAAGAGTCTCTTCAGCTTCTTCCTTCCTTGTTGTCAAAAAGATGAACGTATCTGCCCTTTGCATTTTAAAAGTTTACAAGAATGTGTTTATTATTATGAGCACTAATAACTGCCAACATTATAAGTCAAGACTATGTAATGTTCCAGACCCTTTCACATGCATTATTTTGTTTAAGTCTTAGAACAATCCTCTGTGGAAAGTATTATTGCTACCTTCATTTTCCTGATGTGAAACTGAAGCTTAAAGAGATTGATTTGTTCAATGTCAGACAGCTGTTACGTCTTGGGGCAGAGATTTGAATCTAAGACATTCAGCTTTGAAAAGCAGCATCACCACTGCCACCAAAAATAACAGAGAAGAAAGGGGAAATTACCACCTGGTTAAGAGCCCTCTCAAAGTTTTTACAGTTGGGGCCTGGATATCTAGAATCTTCTACTTTCTTTCAAATTGGAAAATGTATGATTCTATAAGAATGAAGAAGAAAAGTAGAAGGGTAAGTACAGGTAATCTGAAAAAATAAAAATAAAGAGTCATATAGGAGGCACTAAAGGGAAGAATTGAAGAAAGGGGAGAAAAGAAAAAACAGCAAGAAAACATTTTCCTGTCTTATTACCATCTTATTACCCAAATGGGAAAGGCATACTATCTCACCTATGATGGCTACAGATGAATATAAAGATGGACAAATTAAAACAATACAATAAATGAATAACCAATGGCTCAATTATGCCAACTGAAGACTTTCGAGTAATTCTAAAAGGTAATGGCAAAAAAACAAAACAAAACAAAACAAAACAAAAAATCCACAAGAGAACACTAAGGAATGAGGATAGTTGCTTTAGCAACTATTCAGAATGCATTCTGAACCTTCTCAGGACAGGTCCCTGGGCTACTACAAGAGTGGCTAATGAGGACAGGCAGGTAGTCTACCATGTCTAGGACACAACAATAGCATGAAAGCCTTTGAAAATCACTGAACACATGCTGGTGTACAAAATTCTGGTTGCTGCTGGGCATGGTGGCTAATGCCTGTAATTTCAGCACTTTGAGAGACTGAGATAACAGATTCGCTTGAACCCAAGAGTTGAAGATTACCCTGAGCCACATAGCAAGACCCTATCTCTACAAACAAATGAAAAAATTAGCCAGGTATGGTGGTGTGTGCCTGTAGTCCTAGCTACCTGGGAGGTTGAGGTGGGAGGATCGCTTGAGTCCAGGAGGTTGAGGCTGCAGTGAGCCAAGATCATGCCACTGCACTCCAATGTGGGTGATAGAGTGAGACCCCATCTCAAAAAAAAAAAAAAAAAACAAACAAAAAACAAAAAACCCAGAAAACAAGCCCCAAAATTCTCTGGTTGCTGAAGAAATATAACAGGCCAAGTGTGTTTCTCTCTAACCAACTGTGGCTCAGTGCTGCTGTATGCAGCTGGTCTTCTGTGGAATGTCTGCCTTGAACCCTTCTCTCCCAGCACAGACTGCTCATCATTGAGGTCCAGCTCAAGTAGCACCCTTTCTCAGTACAGTTCCAAGCATTGCTCTCCTGGGCTTATTTCTGTCTGCTCTATATGATTATTGTTTACTCATTGAGCTCCTTGTGGGGAGAGATTGCATCCTCCTCTTTTTGACATTTCCATTAATGACAGTACAAGCACCTAGGGAACACTCTGAAGTGTGGAGTCACTGTACTGTTCCCTATTCTACATGCTTGCCACCAGGGCTACTGAAGCATGGAAGTTCTTCCTTGCAAAGGACTCTCAAAGCTCTCTTTTCTTATCTTCACTGACACTGCCCTAGTTTACTTCATCATCTCTTTCTAGGAATAAATGAATAACCTTCAAACATTGCCTCCACTACCTTCAGCAATGCATGATTTTATCACTGATGCACCTTCAAATAAATGATGTGTCTCTATTTCGAAAGCATAGGATGTTTTCCAGTTGGAGAGGTGGTAACTTCTTGGGACTTCCCTGGAGGCGAACATCCAGGGCTCCCACCTTCTCCAAGGGTAGGCTTATTACTTATTTTCTTTTTCCCCAAACCATGTAAATAATGTCTTCCTAGAGAAGTCCTCAGGTCAACATTTGCTCTTCCTTCTTTGGCTTGTTGATTTACCATTCCTAATTGAACAAGCCAGGAGGTACTACCGAGCCCCTTAACCTTGACCCAAGCAAGAATGCAGACCACTGAGTTTCCTCAATGTTTGAGAATGAATACTTTTAAAACAGAATATACCAATAGGTGATAAGGATACCACACACCCAGATGCTATTTCCTTCCTTCAAAGCTCTTCTGGCACATTGATCTTCTTAACAATCACAGAAGATAGATATTGTTGTTCCTGCTTTATAAATCATCCAACAGAGGCTGGAAGGACTATGGTGCCTTGGATACGGCCTCACAGGGGCATAATGGCAGAATTCAAATTAAAACATTGAATTTCCGAGTCTAGGTAAGGCACATGTATGAGAAAGCTTTTACTCCATTGCTCTCAATGCTTACTGATTTTAAACTTTTAAGTCATCACAAATCTATATATTTTCAACCTCAGTCTATAGGCAGAATTCATTAAAGAGATTTATTAGACAGGCAATCTAGAAAAGATGACTGTTTTCAGAAGCTACTGCTCCCTAGTCCTCCTTAGGTAGAAAACCTTAATTTGTCTTCCCAAATTCCCTTTACCTCAGAGAATAGCTTTGTGGATGGAAAGGCAATAATAAAAGATCAAACTCAGTCCAGCATCAAATGATCAGCCTTTTCTCTCTATTGCAGCAAATTACAGGTTTCCCCTAGGTCCAGCAGTTACTTACATGGTGAAGTTCATCTGAATAACCTGGCCAGCCTATGGTGGTGGTGGGGCAGAGGGAGGAGGCAAGTGTTCCCCCACCCCAACCCCATTTCTCATTGAACTCTACTCATTAGAGGAGGCTGGGGTGCAAATCAGCTTAACATGTCAATAAGCCACCAAGGAAATACAAAAATTGACAGCTGAGGAATCCCAGCTCCCAACTTCCTCCACTATAGAAACCCTCAGTAAAAAGGTTTCTCAGCTTCCTCACCAGGTCACTTAAATGAGTAGTGACATTTGAGTCCCTCAGAGTAATTAATTTCCTCTGTCTCCAATAGCTTCTCATATTTTAAGTGAATTTTTACAAGTCTCAGATCCTGCAGCCTCCCTGCTCCTTCTCCAGTCCTGTTGTTCCCCAAGGTACCATAACAAATAGCTCCCACTCATATTTGCCTTGCAAACTCACATAAACTGGAAATGATAAATATATTATCTGGGCTTTTAATGGACCATTGTTTAATTTTCTATGCTTGTCTGGCTGGGGAAGAGATGAATATTACCTTGTGGAGAATAAGATTTCTATTCCATTTAAGGGGGGTTAGGGGTAATCTATGGCAGAAGAGCAATGCTCTGTTCATCCTAATAGGCAGTGCTGCTAATTAAAAGTGTTGGAAGGGACATCCATCCACCAGTCTGTGATTCATTCAGCATTATCCCCAGTAAACAAGAAATAGATATTGGAATGAATGCTTCTAATTTGTCAAAAGAATAGGCGTTTTCAATTGTGCCTTCCTGGCTCCTGTATGAAGTACATAATTCAGTGTTGCCATCATTTAAAAGTTTAGGACGTCAAAATAACAGTACTTTCCATTTGTGCTCATAAATCTGCAAGCCTGTTTTCCATGTTTCTGCATTTATCTTACATATTGTTTGACTTTATTTTCCACAGTTGAGAATAGTTTCCTCTGTTGGTAAGTATATTGAAATGGGCGGTGGGGTGGAGCGGTGCATTTAAGAAAGAGAGCTAACACAGTTCTGTTGAAAATCAAGCCCATCTGAGATGATCTATTAGAAGTGGCTAAAACAGAGGCAGGAAAACCTAAGGATCCTAATGACATTTTCTAGGTACTTAAAGAAAAGACAAAAGAGAATCAATATTCTCTTCCTGTAACGATAAACACAAAGTCGACTAGAGAAAAGCAACCCGAAGCACTAATTCCAAAGGCTCCATGAACCCTCTGATGTGTTTTAAGAAGGAACACAAAATACAAAAGCTACCACTTCGAGAGAACCCAGAGATATTTGTGGGAAATTTTTCCAAGGAGAAAGATATATTTACCCTTGTGTTGTGCAAAAGAGTTCTTCAATCATGAAGACTGAGAGTCAGGGCTCACCACCATGTCTTCCTGAGTGCTGAAAACAAACAAAACACGATATTAAAAAAGTAAACATTAATTATTTAATGGTCTTGTTTTTCTTCTCTCTCAGTCAAGAAACATTTTCTAACTTCCTCCCATACACCAGGCACTGGAAATAGAGAGATGGATAAAATAAAAATACAACTGACAAAAAATTCAACAAACACAGACCACTGTGCATGAGGCAAGAGGTAGTCACAGAATGCCTCTTAGAAGAGAATCAGGATATGTGTGTCTGTTTGCGTCTGAGATACATACATATGTACATACATACATATCTATACATACACAAAAGAGCATAAGAATTTTTAAAGAACTTCCCCACATTTGTAATTCATCTGACTTTCTAAAGAGCTTGGGCTCTCTTGCCTTGAGATCAGTAACAGGAAGGCACTGGAGAAAACGTTGAGTCTGAAAAGCGATCAGACCCTTTAATCTGTAATTCAGCTTCTGCATTCCTTCTTCTTCGTCTTCTTTTTTTTTAGAGACAGGGTGTCACTCTGTTGCCGATGCTGAAGTGTGGAGTGCAGTGGCGGAATCATGGCTCACTGCAGCCTCAACCTCCTGGGCTCACGTGATCTTCCTGCCTCAGCCCCTTGAGTAGCTGAGGCTACAGGTGTGCCACCATGCCTAGCTAATTTTTGCATTTTTTTATAGAGACAGGATTTCACCATGTTGCCCAGGCTGGCTGGATTCCTTCTTAAGGAAACAATTATGAAGGCAGACTGGTATTTATGCACAGGGATATTCACCATAGGGTTATTCGTAAGAGGGAAACACCCCACAGAGGAATAAAAAAAAAAAAAGTTGGTATTTCTGCATAGAAGAATAATATGTACATATAAAAACAAATTTTTAAATGTTGAGTATCTAGAAAATATATTTTGTATAATGTAACAAAATTGTTGATAAAGTTTAAGCTTATCCATGGGTTGGTCCTCAAAAATAACAGTGGTCATCTTTGGAATATGATTGCAGGTTATTTTTCCCTTGTTTCTTTATGCTTTCCAAATTTTCTACAGAGAGCATGTATTATTCTTCCAGACAGAAAAGAAGCAAACAGAAGTTTCAGCTCCAATATCACAATTTCTGTATCACTTCTCTCAATTAGTTGGGGACTCCCTATTCCCCAGGAATACCTCCGTTCTGAAGGTAACACTGCACTGGAATTATCCATTTCCATCTCTGCCTCCCATGGTTGTGAGTGCCTCTGATAACGTTTTTATGCCTTATTAAACTTTGCTTCCCATAAACCTAGTCAGAGACTGGCACGATTGTCATTCCATCAATGTTTGCTGCCTAAGGGAGGAATGAAGGTGTGAATGAATGAACAAAAGAATTAATTAATGAAATTGACCTGACGAAAATTATACTAAGAAAATTGTTCATTCAAAATAATCAGTGACAATAAAAAGTGATGTTCCATTTGGATTCATAAAAGATACAAGAAGATGGAAAGCAGGAAGGCAGCAATTTTTCAGAGCAGTCAGTAAAACAAAAAAACAGATCTTATGGTTAAAAATATACACACACACACAAACTCAATATAATAAAATATTACAGCCTAGTGATTTTCCAATGTATTCCTAGACCAAGAATCTGTTTAAGGCAGGAATATTTATCTAGTAACAATATCCCATTACAACAACTCAGTTATTTTACACATTTGGAGTTACATATATATAAACTAAGTAGAGGCTTATTATTAGTTTTAATCAGAAATGAATGGTCGACTCCCTGTTCAAGGGAAACAAGGTTACAGGATAGATTATTGTAGTGATTTTCAGAAATTCAACTTAGTCTACTCATAAAACTAGTGATATATAGCCAGGGTATTAATATACAGTTATATTTTTCTGGAGGTAGACCTGGTTTAATTCCCATTTTTGTCGTTTAAGAGTTAGGTAACCTTGAACAAGTTATTTGACCTCTCTAAGTCTCAGTTTTCTTATACATAAAGTGGGATAATAAGTCCAACCTGACAGGGTTATTGTAGAAAACAAACAAAAAAATGACAGAAAGCATGGAATTCAAAACAGGCTTCAAGTTCATATCTTTTTATGTAAAGACCTGGAGCTCTTAAACACACATCGATCTTCCTTTATATTATATGCCTAAAGTATGCTAAGTACTCTACAAATATTTTCTCATTTAATCCTCATTATATTTGGTGTTAGTGAAACCACCTTTGCAAAAATCATATCAGTGAGAAAATTACGGCAGTGAGGGTGATCTGACCTGACCAACTCTCTTCTTGCCTTGAGTCTTCAAGTTGCCCTTCATTATTTATGGGCTTAAACCAAGGTCACTTTGGGAGAAACTTAATTTGTAGTTTAAATGATAATAGCCTTCCCAAATCCCAACCATCTTTTAAAGCTAATAAGAAACCAGAAGGCTAGGAGGATAGAGAAACCTGAATTTTGCTAAGGTGAAATCATTGCTAGCCATTATTCAAAGTTCACAAGATATGCAACTTCCCCAGTTACTCCTGCAGATAACATCACTATTGCAGAACCTAAGAATGGCCTTTTGAAATAACTTTTCAGTTTTTTTTGCATGTCTGATGACCTGTGGCTCCACCTGGACCCAGCAATCATGTCTGTGACCTCACCTGTGACCAGCACTGCAGAAGGACCATTTCTCACACCCCTATGATTGTACCCCAATCAATCAGCAGCAAGCACCCATTGCTCTAGCCACCCCCACCCCTTCCCCGAAACTACCTTCGAAAAATCCTGCCCCAAAATCCTCTAGGAGGCTGATTTGAGTCAGAATAAAATCCCAGTCTTCTGTTAGCTGGCTCTACGTGTAAAAAACTCTCTATTGCAATTGCCCTGCCTTGAAAAATTGGCTCCATCTGGGCAGCATGCAAGAATGTAATCATTGTGTGGTTACATTAGGAAGTCCTGTTTTCTACTTATAATCCTCTGATTTCTGTAAAATTGGAAGAAATGTCCCCTCTTTCATTTCTTATTTTAGTTATTTAATTCTTCTCTCATTTTTTCTTAATCTAGTTAAAGATTTGTAAATTTTGATCTTTTCAAAGAACCAACTCTGTTTCATTTATTTTCTCTGTTGCTTTTGCATTCTCCATTTTATCTTATGTTTCCACTTTAAATAAGAGAAAATTGATGCTCAGTATTAAACACTTAATGAGTGTCTGAGCCAAGTTTCAAACCCAGAATGTCTGGTTCCAAAACCTAATCTCATTAACCGTTACGAAAAGAAGGCACTAAATCTGGGTTTGGACACAGGCTTTGACTCACACAAAGTTCAGTTTACAATTTTACCTTGTTGCATTTTGTTATTTGGAATGCAACAACTTGAATTTTATTCCCTCTTAAGTCCCACTTAAGTGCCTCCTACTTATTTTCTTATTAAATATTTCAAGCATGAACCTGAATATAGACATAATTATAACAAAAACCTATGTACTGATGCCAGCTTGGTCAGATATTATCATTCTGTCTTATTTGCTTCAGATCTTTTTTTAAAATATAAAACATCGTAGAAATAAGCAAACTCTCCCATGAATTCCTTCCCAATTCCACAAAGATAACAACTCTCCTAAATTTTCATGCAAATTTTTCTGTTTCTAATACAAATTTGTATTCATAAACAATATATGCTACTGGTTTGCATGTTTTAGAACTTTGTTTAGATGGTATCCTAACTGTAGGTATCCATTTAAAGTCTATTTTTTCTAATACTATATTTTCAAGATTTTGTCCATTAGAGATAATTATTTTAACATGTAGATAGTATTTTATCACATTTATATTTTAGCCTAATGATCCATATTTGATGGTATTTGGGCAGTTTCCAAATTTTGCTAACACAAATAATGCTGCAATGGACAACGTATACTCCTTGGGTACCTATGTGCGAGATTTATTGGTGGACGTGTTGTGCCATGGAGTACATGCATCTTCAAAATTATTACTTTTATTTTTGAGATGGAGTCTCGCTCTGCCCCCCACCGGCTGCAGTGTAGCGGCACTATCTCAGCTCACTGCAACCTCTGCCTCCCCAGTTCAAGCAACTCTCTTGCCTCAGCCTCCCTAGTACCTGGGAATACAGGAGCCCGCCACCACAACAGGCTAATTTCTGTGTTTTTAGTAGAGACGGGGTTCGCCATGTTGGCCAGGCTGGTCTCAACTCCTGACTTCAGGTGATCCACTTTCCTCGTCCTCCCAATGTGTTGGGATTACCGGCCTGAGCCACTGTGCCCGGCCTATTAGATATTGCTCTACAGAGTGACAGCAGCATGTATACCAATCTGGTGTTAGTTCACATCATTACCAGCATTTGGTATTGTCAGATCAGATTTAAACATTTTTCCAATTCGATAGATATAAAATATCTTATTATGTTGTAGCATGTATTTCTCTACATATTAAAATACGATAGTGAGATAGAACATTCTTCTGTAGTTTATTTAATTGCCTATTTAGGTTTTCCCTTCCGTGATTTGCTTTTCCATATGTCCATTTTTCTATTGGGTTGTTATAGAAGAGAGACAACACACACTAAAAATAAATAAATAATAAATAAACAATAGAGAGAGAGTAAAACACCTAGTATGTCAGATGGTCATATGTGCCATGGAAAAACTAGAAGCAGAGAAGGGAAAAAAAGAGTGCTGAGGATGGGAGTCCCATTTTTAATGGAGTAGTTACGGAAGACCTCACCAGAAGGCAACATTTAGTAAAGTCCTAAAATAGGTGTGGGCACAAGTTATAGGAAGAGGATACTAAGTAGAGGAAAGAGCAAAATGGTAAAATGATATTATTTGACTAAGATATGTGGTGGTATATGGGGGTGTGTTATAATTATGTTCTATACTAAATTTATTTGTTCTCAATACCAACTTTTATGTGGGTATATATGTTGAAAATATTTTTCCTATGTGAACATTTTGTTTAAAATGACATATTAAACGTTTAAAATTTTAATGTAATGAAATATATTTAATTCTTCTCTCATTTTTCTTAA